CCCCAAAACCCCAAAACCCCAAAACCCCAGCAATCCTAGCTTAAAACTATTTCAAAAATTATTAAATCTTTAGAATATATTGAAAATCTTTCTTTATTGACTTGAGGTAATATTAGTTATTATGTTCACTATCTCAGGAAATTAACATTCTGATTTTAAACGAAGTTAGGGTCCTTCAAAATCTATAGGTATTTATTGTTAAGGATAGCCATTTTGAATTGCTTGTCTTCCTCATCAGAGTTAAGGCCTCCTCTATTGTTCTGCTAATTCTTGTTTACACCTAGAGTTCCACAAGTTATAAACGACTATAGAGATGTGCCTCTATTAGCATTCTGAGAGTTGTCTACATTCTCATGGCCAGACCGACTATTGTTGTTATCTTTATTTTATCGCCTTTGTATCTCCTTGTTCTTCATTCCAAACTACTGAGGGGTATACGAATGCCTATTTACACTCTGTGACTTATGTTTTTGCTGTGTCTTGAACTTTTCTTCCCTTTATGAATTTGAATTGAAGTTATTTCCATTCATGATATTGTTGTTCTGTGTGGATTTAGCTGGAGACTGCAGATCAACACCAATGTCTAAGTCGTTATTCTGAATCATGCCAATAAGGACTGTATGCGCTTCTCTCAGTTTATTCAATTCCTCGACACAATCCTTGTAAGTCTAGTAAAAGTCTTTAAGTCGCAATTCACTCAGAAACTGCTCATTCTTGTTGCTTAAGAATTCTACCTCTGCTGTCAAATTCTGCAAAGTACTCTACAGCTGAAACCTTTCTCTAAGTAATTACTCTTTATCTGTTAACTGCATTTAATCTCTATCCTATTATTTCATCTGGGCCTTTAGATTGCTAAAGGCATTTGCTAAATCTATAAACCTCTTCTTCTCATAAGCCACTTGCTTTTTCAATTAGAAATTCTCCTTAAATAACTAATCCATTCTGGTCAAACACTATACTGCATTAATCTAGTTAGTGATATTACATAATTAACCTGCTCCTGTATAACATTAGCCTAACCTCTATTATCAACTGCTACTAGAGAAGATTGTGAGAGTACTTTAATCCATTGCTCTAGCTCGTGCATCTTCCTGAGATACGTGTCTCATTCTATCTCTAATTCCATTGCATAGTTTTCAATGTCCTTGTCTTTACCCCCAGACCTTCCCATATCGAAACTGTTGTCCTTATTAATAAAAACTTCACGTTTTGGACTCTTTCCACCTTTCATTAGAATATATTAATAGAATATAATTTGATTTCAATTAATTATTCCAAGATTATCATATTGCTTAACACACGGGGTTTTGGGGTTTTGGGGTTTTGGGG